ATGACCTAATGTGGTTGTATGGTCTTTGAGAAATTTAGCACCAAACCAATTCCCTCCACATATTGAAGAGCCGAAGAGGTTTTCATTCATGCATAGAGTGCATTGGGCAAGTAAATATTTCGTATCCCATCCCTCTCTAGGTTTTAAGGTTAGCATCGTTCATGGACACGTAGCCGTTCATTTAATTGGGGGAATCCTCCAACGTGCACGTTGACTTCAGTCTTGGAAGCTTCCCACCCAATACGATGCCATGTCGTCACTCCATTGGCTGTATAGATAACTATGGGACCCCATTAACCTAGATGCCTATTAACCGTTCAAGAGGATTCTTTCGTTCTTTGATAGGTTTTATTTTTAATTCTGCTGAGTGTACAGACAATCTCCTCATCAGATAAATCTCGTGGAAGAGGGCGGTTTAGACGCTGACGACTCGGCCATGCGGCAGGTAATATTGGGTTAGATGATAAGCAGTAGCAATCGTAGTGTAATCTGACGTAAACGCACAAATATTCTAGAAAAAAGTACGAATTCATCTCTTGTTCCCGAGTTATGGGTTAAATAGTAGGTCTGTGTTAGCTCTTTTGCTTTAAATTGGTAACCAAGTCAGCAGAACAAAATGATTCCCCTACGACCTTAATCCGTTACTGAACCCATAGCGTGATTTGTATCGTGACTCGTAACGTAACTTGTAACGTGACTTCATTGTGACTTCATTTGTCAATAGCACTTATGCTAAAATTTAAAGAACATTCTTCTAAAATACAGATACAGTTTTGATGCAAACATAGCCAGCTATATCTTTTGTAGAATGTTAGAGAAATCTTAGAAATGTTTCCCATGTTTACTCAATCTTTATCACATACTCAATCAACTGTAGTTCTTCATTTATTTTATTTTTTTAATTAGTTATTTTTTAATCATTTCATCCCAAGCAAAGCTACAATGCCACTAGGTAACGGGGGCAAAGGAATACAAAGCGTGAAAGAGAACGAGAAAACTTTAGTGAAAAGAATTGTGGAACAGGCTAATCAAGGAACAGTAAATAAAGATTGACGTTGCTTTTTAATTTTTTAATATTGTAGGTGATAGGGAAGCAAGAAATTAGAAGGAAGTTCCACAGGCGAAAAGTACGAGAAAAGAATAGAATGTAGTTAGTTCAGCACTAAAACGATGATGTCTAGATGGCAGTCTAGTAGCGGGCTGAAATTCAATCCAGTCGAAACGCTAAGAAGAACAGGCCATCAGAACCATTGCCATGAAAATATTTGTAGAACATTCACATCGGTGTGACAGCGACTTAAATCGAGATGCCAGGTCAGGGTCGTTTACATAACAGATTGTTATAAATCACTCCTATCGGTTATAATATTATATAATGCTTAGGCTACACGCCGTGACAGGCATTAGAATTATATACAACTGACGCCAACGGACTGGTAGTTACCCAGTCTCTCCACTGAGGCGAGATATGACACAAGCTCGAGTTTAGCGTGAGGAAAGCCGAGCACGTATACTCAGACCACAGGTCAAAATTTCCCCAGCCCCCGAAACTGTCGGATCGGACTCTATTCTTCTTAGCTGAGTGTCTGTCCGTAGACAGAGCCCCGACTGAGTCGTACTCTAACCGAAGACAGAAAGCTTGACAATCGCGAGCCAGACAGCTGACTGCAACGGACCGGAAATTACCAAGGTCGATTTAGTGTGGGGAAAGCCGGGCGTGTATACTCGGACCAAAAGTCAAAATTTACCCAACCCCTTTGTCTATTGTCTCTTCTCAGCCAAGTCTCCGTCCGTAGACGGAATCCCCACAGAGTCGTACACTATCTAAAGACAGAGAGTTTGACAATTGCGAGCCAGACGACCGACTGCTTGACTGGTCAACCCACTGAGACGAGATGTGACACAAGGTCGAGTTTAGTGTAGGGAAATCCGTACAGGTAATGTAAAAAAAGCTCCGGGATTGAACACTTTGCATTGTCTATCCATCTCATCAGATCCCCGAATGAATGCTTGTTAGGAACATGACATTGGAAATGTCGGTGATGAAGGTCAGAAACAACGTGGGTCAGTGGATAAAAAAGGTGGACTCCTGCATTAATATGAAATTGACTAGAAGCGTTTCTGGAAAGTAACTTGTGTATTACACCCTTTTTCTACTTACATTATTCGCACTGTTATCCTCATCTCCATTGCCATATTCACAACGTTTCACCTGATTTTATATATATATATATATATATATATATATATATATATATATATATATTCATGAATTATTCATACAAAAACAAATGCAAAGGTTTAATTGGCGAGAAATCCATCGTCGCAAACAATTCAAATAATATACAAATATATATATATAGGAAAGACACAAAGCTGAATAGAATACATAGATAGAAACCAGATTCAGATAAATATGGAAAAAACGGGATAGATAGATAGATAGATAAATCGATTTGCAAATAGATAAAAAACAGATAGATTGTGATAGACAAATACACATATACATACATATGTAACACCTATTATATATATATATATATATATATATATATATATATATCAACCTCTTGAAATCCATTGTCAACTGTTATCTATTATACATATTCCCATAGTATACAGCAACATTATTCAGTAACCCTCTACCTTGAGCGGCTCCTGATTCTTGTATTGGATGAACACTAGTGTATACAAAAAGTCAGTATATCAACGCGATTAAACTTAAACAGTGCTGAGAAAATAGTCGGTTCATTTTTAATGGTTCAAAATGTACCCCACTTCATTTGGCATACTCTTACAAAAGATGAAAACGAAAATAAAATATGACTTCCATATCTGAGGATGGAACTGCCTAATCCTCATTTGATGAATTATTTTCCAACCAACAACCCTTTCTTCACGCACAAAATGGCGCTAGCTTCTCGCTACTCTGTCGCTATTTACATGGCAAATGTTCGGACAAGCCATATTCATTAATTCAAACCACTTCAAACCTTCAAAGCAAGAACACGACAAAAGAACGCCTCATCCTCATTCCTTTTAGATTCCATTGGTAAGGAAGAAGTTCTTCTCAGACAGCGTCTTCTCCTGAACAGATGCATTGTGGAATTGTGAGGATACAGGGATAGCATTTATAAGATTGTTGACAGATGGAATGATGTTCTAGAAAGCAAAGGGGATTATGTTAACGAATAAATATTTTCATAATATAACAATTATGAAAATATTTATTCGTTAACATAGGTTAGGACCAAGGAAGAACAACACGAACACAAGAGTAGAAATAATGAAAGTATATTACACGAAATAATAATACAAGATGTGGAAGGTGTTAGTATGACTGTCAGTCTGGTTTGGAGTGAACGACTATCGGCTCGACTCGATTCGATATTTATTTACCCAACCCCCCACGAGGGAAAGATGTGGCACAAGGCAGAGTTTTACGTGGGTTTTCTGAGCCCGTAGGCTCGCTCAAAAAATGCCCGTATAAACTGTAAAAACAGAATCGGGTTGGTCAACCTCCCCGAACGAGGTTCTGCCCTTCGGCGGAGTCTCGTCCGGGTTCCTCTCTGTTCAGAGGCAGAGAGTTCGACCGTCAAGCCGAGAAGCTCGGCTTAATTCGGTATCTAGCTCCCACCCACCCCCACGAGGGTTGCATGTGGCACAAGGCCGATTTTAACGTGGGTTTCCCGAGCCCTTAGGCTCGGCCAAAAAATGCCCGTAGAACTCGTATAAACGGGATCGGGTTGGTCAACCTCCCCGAACGAGACTCTGCCCTTCGGCGGAGCCTCGTCCGGGTTCCTCTCTGCTCAGAGGCAAAGAGTTCGACCGTCAAGCCGAGAAGCTAGATACGTCCCTCTCTCTTGAGAGGCGTAGTATACATAGGGTTAGGAAGAGTTCATTCTGTAGTTATAAGTAAGGACCCATGACAATAATCATGTGCTTTTTCATTTTTAATATAGACCTCGAAATCGGACATTACGTTTAACCCAACCTGATAGTACCTGATGTTCCCAAGCTACCCCCCCTCCAAGTAGTGACCGGGTTCGGCGATGCTTAAACACCGTTTCTGGTTTAATTACCGGAAGACTAGTGATTCCAATGCGATTTTACCGTAAACAATGCTTGGAAAATGGCCGGTATATTTTAACGCTTCAAAATGTACCTGACTCTTCCTACCATACTCTTTGTTTACAACAGTTAGATGAAAAACGAAAATAGAATATTAATGTCATATATGAGGAGGGAACTACCTAATCCTCATTTTGCAACCTTGATAGAGTCCAAAAACTTTTACGTGACCTTTTACGGCAGTGGGTGTGTCGACGGAGAAATAGACACGTTTCAGGCTGGTTTTAAATTTAGAGCTTTCGTTTTACTAGATTGGTTGCCAATACAGACTCGAGAGCCTAGTGCACCTACTGATGGAGGTTTGAATTTACATGTATTTTTATTCTTCTGAATTAGCTACTGCCAAAAGGAAGCTAGCCAAAGTCTGCTCTCCATAGCTAACGAACGACGGAATCGTGTTTTTCCCCCCAAAAGCATTACTGTTAAGTGAAGAAAACAAACTCGGTCAGGTTTTGAACTCGGTACTCCGTTTCCACTTCCTTGATTACGCTACATTTACACCCAAGAATGAATTTATAAAATGAAACGTAAGGCTAGGCAAAAAAAAAAAAAATAACTTAAGATATTATGATTTTGACACAGCACTAATATTCAAGTGACGTTACATGTTCAGATTCTTTTTTATCCGGATCATATGTCCAAATTCTTTGGAGGATAACGTTACAAAATTGAAAAGTTCAGTAAAATAAGAATATCGAATACTTTCAATAATAAATAAAAGAATTACTTTTATAATGGTGTCTATTTTTTTAATAATGATGGATTACGTACTTGACAAGTCAGTTTAACATTTTTCCTCCATCCATCCTGCGATGTTATTTACAAAGTACTTTATAACCTTTTTTCTGTGTTTTTGATTTAAATATAACCCGGTTATGGATAGAGAGGAAGAGACGATAGAGAGAGAGAGAGAGAGAGAGAGAGACAAGCTGAAAAGTAAGCTCTTAGCTGCGAATATAAATCACACTACCTTCGAGAACATCATAATTGATTGTAATGAAGGGAAGAATACATGCTACAATGGCATCAAGAACAAGGCAGCATCAAAGATTGTCAAGCTTCGGCAAACTAGGGAAAGGAATAAAATATCTGCTGCTGTTCCAGCCATATACTCCAAGAATCCACACTCTTGCACAATCTGTGGACTTCTTTGCTAATCACTAGCAGGACTGAAGTGTCACTTGCGACTCATGCACAAGGTTAAATAAACAAAGTTGTCAGAACCTCATACGTCGAAACCGACGGGAGAGTCCATCATATATATATATATATATATATATATATATATATATATATATATATATATATATATATAGAGAGAGAGAGAGAGAGAGAGATAGAGAGATATAGATAGATAGATCTCAGTCTATATCTCCAGTAAGTAAATTCCTGACGCTTGATATTATCCTCTACCATTACAAGAACCAGATCAAACTGAATGGAATACTTTTGCCACATATGAGCAGCAGATACGTTCCCTTCTCTTTCGCCAGCTATGGAGAGCAGAAGATAGATAGATAGATAGATAGATAGATAGATAGATAGATCTCAGTCTGTTTGTATCTATCTATCGATCAATCTATGTTTATATATATATATCTGTCTATGTATCTATCTCACTCTGTTCATATCTATCTCACCCTGTTCATCTCTATCTGATAGACATAGACTGATAGATATATGGATAGATCAGGCTGTATCTATCTGTCTAGCCGTCTGTATGTATCTCACTCTGTTCATATCTATTTGATTGATAGACATAGATATTAACAGACTGTGATAGATAGATAGATAGATAGATAGATAGATAGATAGATAGATAGATAGATAGATAGATCTGTCTGTTTATCTCATGTATTTATCTATCTATCTCTTTTCTTATTTATCCGTCTTCCTGTCTGTCTCTAAAACGATTTCTCTCTGTTCATATTAAATGCTGATAGCCATCTCCAGCTGTTTGTAGACCTGGGTAGATTGTCCTCGTTCATTTGTCAATATCTGGTACTTGTCCATCCTGTTTTCAGTACCTTTATATCTGTGCTACCAGCTCCAATACTCATAATTGCTACGTCACGAAAATTCCTGTTCCGTCGAATTGCCCCCAGCTATAATCTGGAACATGTTTCAAGATTGTCTTGTTTCTTGGAAAATCTGACATGTTTCTGGCGACTTAATGTTATTTATCCTGCCAGCTGTTGAGGTGGCTGCTGACTACATTCCTTCGAATTCCTGACTGCTGATCCAGCTACTGTTGAAACCCTGCTGTAATTTCTCTCTCTTTATTAATGGCACTCATATAGTACTTATTTCTACGCTGGGCCTGTTGATGAGCGAATGTAAATAAAATAAATAATGATATCTCCTTAGAGTAGATACATAAACTTTTGTGAGGTTTAAAATTGTAACCGGGACTTGTTAAGATTCTCTTCCCCCGCACCCCCTATGCTTTAATTTAACCACCATAGAGACCCTTTTCTGTCTGCCACATGAATTGCTGACACTAAATTCCAAGAAGAAAATACATTGCGCCTTCTTGGCGTTTTCCACTGACTTGTAGTTTAGTGACTACATCGAATCAATAGCTGCATCTACTGCAAGGAAAGTTGGTTCACTGTGTTGTATAAGGAAATTTTTTCTCGTCAGAATCCATCTGGCACATTTACAAATCTGCCATCCGTCCGCCCATTAAATACTGTTGACATATTTTCATGGTAACTGCTCTGACGAACTTTTTTCCCTGGTGGCCCGAATACATAAATTTAACCGTGCTGCTACACTGGCATCTAGGTGCCATTCATTTACTATTCAACCGCTAATCCAACAATTTCTTTTTACCGAACTTCCAGTGAAACTCCCTTCCTTTGCTTGATAACTACAATATCCAAAAATTTAAATGCAATGTTAATCGCCATCTTCTGCTGTCTTGAATCCCATTCACCTTTTTTTCTTTCCTCAATCCTCCCTATTCTCAGTACGTTTTTCACATTTACTCCTTGTAACCCCCTGCGCATTAGTTTCATTCCCGCCTTCCTTGGGGTAAAATGATTATATATATATATATATATATATATATATATATATATATATATATATAGAGAGAGAGAGAGAGAGAGAGAGAGAGAGAGAGAGAGAGAGAGTTTATACTCGTCTCCCTCGTCTGACGATCCGCTTAGGTGAAACCTGGCTAGGTTTATCTGGCTCACTAGGTTTGACTATATATATATATATATATATATATATATATATATATATATATATATATATATATATAATTTAAATAAAAACAGACCACTTTAAGGTTCCATGTAATAAATTATTTCACCACAGCCCCTTTAAAGGACTGTGGATTATCAGACTTTACTTCCAAATGTTGAAATGAAAAATGAAAAGAAATTTACACATTTTTGACGGGCCGTATTAAGCATATGTAAATTAACGAAGTGAGGTGGGGAGAGAGAAGACATGAGTGAGTTCGATGTAATTTAAAATTTTTATTCTCTCGGACTTAAAATTACTTGAGGAGGTCCAGACATTGACACATTTAAACGGTTAACTTAACGGAAGTTTTATATTGATATAGAAAGGGTAGAGGAGAAAAAAGACAACAAGAAAAAGGGTGAAGGAAGTCATGAGAGAAGGTGTCACTAATTTTCTTTGGAAAAGACAGGCTCGAAAAAGACGCTGTCATTTTGTTTTACTTTGAAAGTGTTATTTTGGGGGTTCATAAAGATTATAATGTTTGATATAAATTTGAATGTCTAAACTGTCTACAAAGAATTTAATTTGGTGTTTGTTAGTGATTTAAATTTTTTAAAATTTTGGGGATTTTCTAAGAAATAGTCGATTAGAAAAATATTCATCGAAAGTACATTAAGAGAATAAAATTTTATTTTAAAATATAAGTTTACTTCTAGTAATCTTTTTTATTTTTAAAAAAAAAATTATTATTGATTATTAAGTTGACATCTCCATCCGTTTGAATTTTGTTCATGAATTTAACTCGTGACTTTTTTAACTATATATATATATATATATATATATATATATATATATATATATATTTAATATAATTGATTTAAAATATATGTTTGTTCCGCTACACAGTTCTAACTATGTTTCAAAAATGGAAGCTGAAAGCTCCGAATTTAATTTTGTAATTAAATTAAAAACGTTAGTTCCATTTCATCCTCAAGCGAATTTTGGAGTAACTTTTAAAATTACTCGGTTTTAAAGACACAGCAAAAATCATAATTCACGTTTCCAAGGATACAGAGAAATCCAATTAAACCAGACAAGGGGTGTTTGCGTGTTCATTATGTCTATATTTTGATGTATCCGTTATTAGTTACGTTTTGGTAGGGGTAGGGATGTTTTTTTCAATGAAATCTGACATCCGTTAACAATAAAATTTTTAAAAATCCAGATGACATGCATTTAACGCTTTAGAATGAAATGGAACTAATGTCTTTAATTTAATTACAAAATTAAATTCGGAGCTTTCAGCTTCCATTTTTGAAACATGGTTAGAACTGTGTAGCGAAAAAAAAACATTTTAAATCAATTAATTTAAATTAATGCTCTGTAAATTTACATTGAGCACTATTTTGCAAAAATAAAAATATCTATAAGAACACCGGATTATATATCTTACTGTTCTTTCTGTTTATATATATATATATATATATATATATATATATATATATATATATATATATATATATATATTATGATATTACATTCCGACATATGTATAATCGCTACATAAATGCATTCATGTTTCGATGAATATAATCCCATCTTATCAGGCGGTGGTAAGAGGAAAGAAAGAAATACAAGGTATAGTCTCATCTAAAAAAGAAAAAAATAAAGAAAATAGGAAGAGCGAGAAAGAAAGAAAGAAAGAAAGAAAGAAAGAAAGAAAGAAAGAAAGAAAGAAAGAGACAGAATATAGTCTCTTCTCACAAAGAAAAAGAAGAAGAGAGAAAGATAAATTTATCTTTCTCTCTTTTTCTTTGGAGAAGATGAGATTATATCTTGGCATTCTTTCTTTTTCTTTTCTTTTTTCGACTATATCTTGTGTCTTTCTTTTCTTTTTCTTTTTATAGGAGACTATATTTCGTGTCTTTCTTTCTTGCTTGCTTTTTTATTTTCTTATTTTCTTTTTTTTTCGCAGGAAAAGAGATTGTTTGCTTGTAAGTAGATATTAAAAATTATAATAAACCTCATTTACCACCGCCTGATGAGATGAGATGATATGCATCGAAACACGAATGTATTTATTTAGCGGTTTTACGTATATTCGAATGTAATATCCTATAATAAAGAATTATCATTCTACTATTGTATTGAGCTTTATTTTTAAATTAATGTTGTGAACGTTTTAATATATATTTGATTCGTTCTCATTTTATTTGTGATTACACACACACACACACACACACTTATATATGAGTGTGTGTGTGTGTGTGTGTGTGTGTAATCACTCTGACTCCATCGATGAAACCATTATTAGTTTGAAAAATTTGTCATTCGGTTATCAATAGTCTAATATATGTGAATTGGAATGAAATGCAAGTCAAATATGGATTTGCAATCCGAGAGAATGACTGGATGAATAACCAATAGGAAACACTTCACCTGAGAATGATATATAGAGCAGAAATAAAAACATCTGCTATTTTTGATGTTTGTGTTGTTCGTTTTTTCGTTGGGCAAGCAGACCTCGCGTGCGTCTGTCTTGTCAAGTAGCGTTCGTGTGTTTAATTCACGTGTACAATTCATGTGTATCATAATTCTAGTTTTCTCCTATTTGTTCTTTATCCTATCATTCTAATATATATATATATATATATATATATATATATATATATATATATATATATATATATATATATATGAGAAAGAAGAGGAGGTAGAAGTGGAGATAGAGTATCAGATTGAACTTATGAGAACAGATGCTACAATTTGAACTTAGCCAAATGGCCGAGAAGAAATGGGACCGCATTAAAATCTATATTTTACTGATGAACTCTATCGAACAATGGAAACCAAGCAAAGCAAGTGCCAAAATTCAGATAGGATAGGAGTGTTTAACGTCTCCTTGCAATACCTCATAAATAATTGATTTTGATTACGTAGAAAAACAAGACATACGCTACTTGGTTTCAGTGAGGGAATGAAAGAAAAAAAAGAAAGAAAGAAAGAAAGAAAGAGAATATGTTTAAAAGAAAGAGAAGTGTTTAATGGCTGTTTTAATGAAATGGAAAAAAATGTTGTCAGTTTCAAATGTTTTCATTTGTACCCCCTTACTTCTTAAAATAAAGACCATCATTATTGGTGTTATTGCAATATGTTGTCAAAGTTTTTAAGTTCAAATATTTAACGATGTGATAGGGGAATTTCTGCGGATATTTTATTGCCGTAAAAAATCGCTATGAATTTATTCGATCATTAACTGAAGAATTAAGATTCACCAGAAAATTAAAATAGGAAAATTGTGAAATCTTCACGGGTCTTTCTGGTAATGATAATTCATCAAATCCAGAAATAAAAGGATCATTTTTCCTACTTTTTTTATAATTCGTAAACCTGATGAAGGCCGCAGAACACAGCAACCGAAACGTTGATACGGTAACATCAAGTACAAAAAGAAGTTCAATTGTTCGATAAATATTTAAAATATGTGAAAAGAAACAATGTTTTTACATTCTCTTGTTTCCTTTTTAATTAAGATAGACTAATGAACTTTTTCTTTTTGTTTTTTACAGGTTCTTACGGAGGTTGAATTACCTGAGATGACGTCCTAACTAGACGAACGTTTTTAAGTTTGTCGGCTTATCTGAAAGTGGTGCAGAAGTCTTGTGAATACCATTGTCGCAAAATTCTCTTCTCATTCTTCTTCTTTACCGGTCGCGTCCCAAACAAAGTTCCGACATGAACGACACCGACCAACGACATCGCGTCGTCGTCCTCGGAGCGGGAGGCGTGGGAAAAAGCAGCGTTATAAAGCGCTTTCTCTTTGGAGCATTCACGCCAGAGTACCACGAAACCGTTGAAGACCTCTTCTGTCGTCAGTATGACATCAGCGGTAGCCTTATCAAAGTGGACATTCTGGACACTGCAGGAAACATACCATTCCCAGCCATGAGACGGCTGTCCATCTCGACTGCCCATGCGTTTACACTAGTATATTCAATCACGAACGTGGATTCGTACAAAGAGGTAAAAGAATTATGGATACAAATCAAGGAGGAGAGGCGGGATTACGAAAAGATCCCCGTGGTGATCGTGGGTAACAAGGTAGATTTGGAGAATGACCGTATTATTGAGAAGTTTGATGCTCTCGACTGGGTTAACAATGATGGTCTCAAGGGTCGCTTCGTAGAGGTCTCAGCCAAAACTGGCGAGTGTATTAACGACATATTTCGAATATTGCTAATTCAGGCAAATATTCCTACTGTCAGGCAATTGGAGCCGTTCCTCAAACGTCGACTGTCGCTGGACCACACAGCCGAAGATGAAGCTTCCGACAACACGGTTGACGAAGAGAAAAAGAAATTCCTTCGGAGTCGCTCACTAATACGGCGAGGGAGTAAACCTAAGATTAAACGATCGGGACACCCGGGTAAAAATGACTGCGGTATTTCCTGA